AATTACCATCTGAGTTGCTGACTTGGTCCCTGAGGTTACTGCTGCCCAAACTGCCCTCTAATGAGGCCACCTGTCCCAGGGGACTTGATCCGCCCAACCGCCTTCCTAACTTGAGTGCTGGCCTCTGTGGGGGATGCAGTTTGGGGCTGGGCCCTGCAGAACCACTAGGCCTCCCCTCCCCTCATCATCCCTGCTCAGTAGACTCAGTCCTCTGCCCTGGGCCGTGGTCTGGGGTGCAGGGAGAACCAAGGTTCATGCCAGTGCTCGGAGGGGGAGCCTTGGGGGCATCAAGTACCTAACATTATGGATATCAGGGGGCTGTTCAACCTGAGATCGGGGGTCAGGAGAGGCACTTGGAACCTTTCATAGGGAGGGGGCTCAAGGTGGAGGGACTCTGACACCACTGCCCTGCTTGCAGGTTCCCCTGGAGGCCCACGGCCAGGCCAGAGGTTCTGCCGCCATGGCCATTGTGCAGACTCTGCCGGTGCCGCTGGAGCCCGCTCCTGAGGCCACCACGACCCCACAAGCTCCAGCCATGGGCAGCGTGAGCAGCCTCATCTCAGGCCGGCCCTGCCCTGGGGGGCCAGCTCCTTCCCGCCACCACGGCCCCCCTGGGCCCACCTTCTTCCGCCAGCAGGATGGACTGCTACGGGGTGGCTATGATGCACAGGAGCCGCTGTGCCCAGCTGTGCCCCCCAGGAAGACCGTTCCTGGCACCACCTTCACCTACATTAACGAGGACTTCCGGACAGAGTCACCGTCCACCCCCAGCAGTGACATCGAGGATGCCCGGGAGCAGCGGGCACGCAATGCCCACCTCCGTGGCCCCCCACCAAAACTCATTCCTGTCTCCGGAAAGCTGGAGAAGGTGAGGACCAGCCTTCCTTTAGGGCCTGGGTGGAATCAGGAGCCCCCTGGAGAAGCTGGAGGAGTTTGGGGGTCTGTGTAAGAGTGTGGGCTCCAGATTCACCAGACCTGAGTGCTAATCCCAGCTCTGCCTCATTCTGGCTTTATTACCTCAAGGAAGTCACTTAACTGTCCTGAGCCTGTTTCCATATATGTGACATGGAGGTGATAGGTCAGCTCTAATGAGTTTGTTGTGAAAATGAAATAATATATATAAAGTGCTTAGCCTAGTGCCTGGCATACACTATGGACTCAATAAATGTTAGCTATTTGAAATTGCTGTTGTTATTCAACAGCAGTGTGTTTGACTTTGAGCAAACCTTTAACTCTGCTCAGCCTCCATTTTCTCACCTGTAATATGGGGATAGTGATCGTATTTTACTCGTGTGGCTTCTGTAATGACTAGAGATGACCTTTTAAATTACTTGACATAAAGCTGACATGCGGGGGGCTCTCAGAGGTAGCAATTATTAATATATGGGGATGGGGGACCCCAGATGGGAAGACAGGAAGTGTGAGAAGGGCTTTGAAAGATTGAGTAGCTCATCCCCAGTGTCTCATGGCACCTCATTTCAGAACATGGAGAAAATCCTGATCCGCCCAACAGCCTTCAAGCCAGTCCTGCCCAAACCTCGAGGGGCGCCGTCTCTCCCCAGCTTCCTGGGTCCTCGGGCCACCGGACTGTCTGGGAGCCAGGGCAGCCTAACACAGCTGTTTGGGGGCGCTGCCTCCTCCTCCTCTTCCTCCTCCTCCTCAGCTGCTGACAAACCTTTGGCACTGAGTGGCTGGGCCAGTGGCTGCCCATCAGGGACGCTGTCCGACTCCGGCCGAAACTCACTGTCCAGCCTACCCACTTACAGCACTGGGGGTGCCGAGCCCGCCACCAACTCCCCAGGCGGGCACCTGCCCTCCCATGGCCCTGGGCGGGGCGTGCTGCCAGGGCCAGCCCGAGGAGCCCCTACTGGGCCCTCCCACTCGGACAGCGGTCGATCTTCCTCCAGCAAGAGCACAGGCTCCCTGGGGGGCCGCATGGCTGGAGGCCTCTTGGGCAGCGGTCCCCGGGCCTCCCCTGACAGCAGCTCCTGTGGGGAGCGCTCCCCACCACCGCCCCCACCCCCTCCGCCCCCTTCGGACGAGGCCCTGCTGCACTGTGCCCTGGAAGGGAAGCTCCGAGACCGTGAAGCAGAGCTGCAGCAGCTGCGGGACAGTCTGGATGAGAGTGAGGTGACCATGTGCCAGGTGTCGTCCGTGGTGGTCATGGGGGTGGCGTGGCAGGACGTCCAGAGGTGCTGGGAGTCCAAGGAGCATTTCTGTTGGTGTCAGGGTGGGGGCAAGTGGTGGGCAGTTGCACGTGTGACCCCATTCCCACCCAGTTGTCTGGCCGAACTGTAGAGTGGTGAGGATTCAAACCCAGCACTACCATTTGCCTATGAGTACTAAGCCTCAGTTTCCTGATGTATGAATGGGGATATTTTTATTCTCTCAGAGTTATGAGTAAGGCAAAGGCTGTAAAGTGTTTAGAATAATGCCCGGCACTTAGGAAGTGCTACTTAAGTGCTTGCTATTATTGCTGTTTCTATTACCATAAAAGTACTTGTCACTGTGGTCATATTATTACCATTGTTCAGTGTAATCTAGCCGCCTAAAGCCCCAGTAGGCCACCAGAGCAGTCAGTGATTGGGGGCAGCGAGGGCTCGAAGTTTGGGGGAGCTGCCTGGACCCAGGCGTGCCTTCTCGCCCACAGGTGTATGAGGATCGGCAGCGGCACTGGCAGCGGGAGCGCGAGGCCCTGCGCGAGGACGGGGCGGCCCAGGCGCAGCGGGCCCAGCGAGCTCAGCAGCTGCTGCAGCTACAGGTGTTCCAGCTGCAGCAGGAGAAGCGGCAGCTGCAGGATGACTTTGCACAGCTGCTGCAGGAACGGGAACAGCTAGAGCGGCGCTGCGCTACCTTCGAGCGAGAGCAGCGGGAGCTCGGGCCCCGGCTCGAGGAGACCAAGTGGGAGGTGGGTCAGACCAGGAGGGAAAGGAGCAGGGTCCTGCAGGAACAACCCCTAGAAAGAGGGGCCCAGGAACACCCCAGCAGCCTGCCACACCTAGAGGGCCTCCCCTTCCTCACCTCTGTGAGATGAGGATCCCCCTCTGACCTCCCTTTCTGGGAGGGGGCCTCCTTGTGTCTCCATGTTTGGCCTCCTCATTAGCCTGGTCTAGTGCCCATAGCCAGTGGCATTCCCACCCACTGCCTTCCAGCCAATAACAAGAATGTAGTGCTTGCTATGCACCAGGCACTATTCAAAGCATGTTACATAGACTGTGTATCATCTAATCTTCATTAACAGCCCTAAGAGATGGGTCCTGTAAATATTCCTATTTTAGAGATGCAGAAACTGAGGCCCAGAAAGGCTGGAGCCCAAAATTATACCCAGTCTGTGGCAGAGTTGAGATTTGAATCAAGTCAATCTGACTCCTTTGTGTATGCTTTTAACCAAAGTGGTTTAAAGACACTACTTTGAAGGGAAAAAATCTGTATCCACTTTAGCCGCTGAATAACTGTATGATCTTGACCATGTCGCTAGGCTTGCCTTAGTGTCTTCATCTGTAAAATGGGTATAAGGATCAAACCTCCTCTCCAGAATGTCCAGCATGCTGTCAGGGCCTGACCCCCTGGGACAGGGGTCCTCAAACTACGGCCCGCGGGCCACATGCAAATACAAATATTGTATTTGTTCCTGTTTTGTTTTTTTACCTCAAAATAAGATATGTGCAGTGTGCATAGGAATTTGTTCATAGTTTTTTTTTTTAAACTATAGTCCGGCCCTCCAACGGTCTGAGGGACAGTGAACTGGCCCCCTGTTTAAAAAGTTTGAAGACCCCTGCCCTGGGAGAACCCTTCTCACCATCCTTCCTGCCTGCCTCCCACCACCAGGTGTGCCAGAAGTCGGGCGAGATCTCCCTGCTGAAGCAACAACTGAAGGAGTCTCAGGCAGAGCTGGTGCAGAAGGGCAGTGAGCTGGTGGCCCTGCGGGTGGCCCTGCGGGAGGCACGGGCAGCTCTGCGGGTCAGTGAGGGCTGGGTGCGGGGTCTCCAGGAGGCAGCCCGAGCACGAGAGCTGGAGCTGGAGGCCTGTTCCCAGGAGCTGCAGCGGCACCGCCAGGAGGCTGAGCGGCTTCGGGAGAAAGCTGGGCAGTTGGACACCGAGGCGGCTGGGCTCCGGGAACCCCCTGTGCCACCTGCCACTGCTGACCCATTCCTTCTGGCAGAGAGTGATGAGGCCAAGGCACAGCGTGTGGCAGCCGGGGTTGGGGGCAGCCTGCGGGCCCAGGTGGAGCGGCTGCGGGCCGAACTACAGCAGGAGCGGCGGCGAGGCGAGGAGCAGAGGGACAGCTTCGAGGGGGAACGGCTGGCCTGGCAGGCAGAGAAGGAGCAGGTGATCCGCTATCAGAAGCAGCTGCAGCACAACTACATCCAGATGTACCGGCGGAACCGGCAGCTGGAGCAGGAGCTGCAGCAGCTCAGCCTGGAGCTGGAGGCCCGGGAGCTCGCCGACCTGGGCCTGGCAGAGCCAGCCCCCTGCATCTGCCTGGAGGAGATCACTGCCACTGAAATCTAGGGCCCTTGGGGTCCCAGCTCTGCAGGGAGCTCTGCTGAAAGGGAACAGCTGCCTCAGGTCCACTGAGGGCCCCAGAGCCACTGGTCCCCTGGGATCCAGGCCTCTGGGCCTCTGCCAAGACCCAGGGCTGCCCTATGACTTGGATGAGCAAGATCAGACCCCTTGGAGGTCCCTGTGTTCACTATCACCCAGAGGCTCCTGCTCACTCCGCCTGTTTCACTCCCCACCTGTTGCCAGTGCCACTCTGCCAACCCCATTCACCCCAAACGCTCACCAGCTCAACCAGCCAGGGGGCTGGGGAGAGGAAGGAGCTCCCTCGTCTCCACACTCCAAAGCCAGAGAGAGCCAGACAGCGCCAGCTGCTCCAGATGTGCCTGCCCTACCCTGCCCATGTTGGGGGACAGGGCTGGGACTGGGGTCTGGTCCCCAGCTTCCAGCTCTGCAGCCTCTCAACTGTGGTGAGGGGGCTATAGTCAGACCAAAGGAAGAACTCAGAAATGTCTTGTTTATTTGTGTTTGTGACCAAGCTGCCCCTCCCTACACCCTGGTGTATGGCCTCGTTTTCACTTGTATATTTTTCACACTGTAAATTTCTTGTACAAACCCAAAGAAAAAAATTAAAAAATTTTTTGATTTTTAAAAAAAAGGTGAGTGTGTTGGAGAAAGATTATGGGAACTTGTTTGACCCTCCCCCAGCCCCTCTTTTATTTGCTGGCTATTCCCCTACCCCTCATGGAGGTCTTTGGGGGAGAAAGGGAGATGGGGAAAGGACAAATCCAGTAGAAAGTCTACGGCTCGTGGACCACAACAGGAAGTGGTCTCTCTGAGTTTGAGAAATGAGAAAAGGCTTCCATCCTGTTCCTGGCATAGAACACTGCTTGCGGCTGGGAGGTGGCCGCAGTGACTGCTTGAGGGCTATCTCGGAGAGGCCATGTCCCCCAGCGCTTGGGAGAATCAAAGGGGCATCATGAGAAAGTACCCTCTGATCCCAAGTTCCAGACCTTGGGCTTCTCGACCTTCCTGTCTCGGGAGGTTAGGAGCAGCGAGTAGGTGACACAGGCTGCCCAGTAGCACCTTGTCCTTGACACCAAGTTTGTCTGGAAAGGGCAGAGCCTTGGGGGAGGGAAGAAAGCAGGGACATCTGAGCCACCGGCGTGGAGCTCTGTGAGTCGGCAAGGCAAGCAGGACTGGGAGGTTCCCGAGTCAGAAGGTCAGTAGGCGAGGTCTGGGAGAGCAGGAGGATTCCGGGGTCAGTGGGAGGATCTGAGGTCAGTGGGAAGAGTCATGGGATCGGTGGGGAGAGCCGGGTTAGAATCTGGAGTCTGGAAGGTTGTAGAGGGGACTGGGCTGGGGGTGTGGCGTCAGTGGCAGAGGTCTGGATATTGTTGGGAAGGGCCCTGTGAAGTTCTGGCAGCCAACGGGCGTACCATCCAGGGGTCAGCGGGCAGGGGAATGGTCCGGAGGAAGGAGCCGATCGCTGGGTGCTGATGAGTCAGAGGGCAAGGCTGGCGGGTCGGGCCAGGGGACCCTGACCACGAGCTCCATGGGCTCCCGGGCCTTGTTTCGATACGCCCGGCGGATGGTATCCACTGCGCGCTGGTGGGTCACCTGCTCCAGACTCTCTCCATCCACTGCCACCAGCTCGAAGCCAGCCTAGGATGGGAGTGGGAGACCACAGCCCTGCCCATCAGGTCACCCCCCACTCCAGCATCCAACCTCTACCTCCACCAGCGAGGACACCCTCCTGCGTGGAGGGGATGGACAATGGGGCTTTTGTGCCTGGAGCTGTTGGGGGCTGGGTGGGGCACAGACAATGGCCCTTTGTCCCTTGGGGCAAGGGGTGGAACAGGATGGGCCGCCCTCAGGCCCAGGCTGGCATGAGGGGACAGATTTTTTCCTTGGCCAGCTCATCCTGACCCCTCTCCTCCCACGACCTGGTCTGAACATGCCTGGCTGGCAGATGCGCATGACCCAGCCTGCCCCGGCCAGAGGCCAGAATCAGCTCCGGGCTGAGGGAGGGGACCGGGTTGGCTTCACCCACCTGCAGGGCCCCACTGAGGAAGGCGGCCCCCCCAGGGAAGATCTTTTCTATCTTCACCATGGGCTGCACCTTGGACTCGATACCCCCCGAGATGCTGATGCCTAGAGAGAGTGACAAACACAGGATAAGAGTGGGCCTACCCCTACAACCCAGAGCTCCCAGGATAGGCCCAGGACCCCATCCCCAAATCCGGGGCCCCCAACTATTCCCAAACTCCAATTCTGTTACTATTCAATCCTCAACTCCAAAATCCTCTAGATCTCAAAGCCCCCAAATCTATAGATTCCCCCAACTACACCCCAATACCCAGATTCTTTTCCTAGGCCCAGGCCCCTAGTCACATCCCCAAACCAAACCCACCAACCTTACCCAAACCCCTGCCAGGCCAGTCCCACCCGGACTCACCCAACGACTGTTTCATCTTGGACAGCGTGACTGTCCTCAGCTCCCCGCTGGGAGCCTTCGTGGCTGCCTGCTCAGCTGTCCTGCCAGGTCCATTCTCGCTGGGCCCTTGACTGCCTCTCGCCTTGGCTACCTGCCCATCTAGAGGTCGTGGCAGAGGGGGCCTGGCCTTCCGAGGCTTGTGGTAGCGCCCGTTGGCCATGCTGGGGGTGAGGATAGGCGCTGGGGACGGGGACCGCCTGCGCCCAGGGGACTTGCCTCGGCCCCGGCTGCGGCTGCGGCTGCGGCTGCGGCTGCGGCTCTGGGCCGGGCCCTGGCTCTGGCTCTGGCTCTGGCTCTGGCGAGGGCCTTCTTGGGTCAGGGGCTCTGTCAGCAGCCAGTTAGGTCTGGGGGGCCGGGGAGCAACGGGGGGTGGCTGGGGAGGGGGTGTGCAGGTGCTTCGGTGTGGGGCGAAGGCATCTACTGGCACGTCTTGGAGAGGGGGGATCCCTTTATGAGGGTGGCAGGAGGCAGAGGTACCCAGGGAGACCCGGAGGTCCCCCAGCCGCTCCCTCAGCTCCCCATCATCTTCCTCCTCAGAGAAGCCATTCGCAGGCAGCAGGTAGAAGCCTCCACGGCTGTCTGGGGAAGATGGCCAAGGTCAGGCTGCCCCCTCGTCAGCCCAGACCACCTCGCCAGACCCCGGCCCGTGCCTTTCTAAGGCCTAGGAGACCAGGCCTGGGTTTGCTCAGGCCCTACGGCAGCCCTGCCCATGTTCCATTGTAAGAGCACTTTAATACTTTCTATTGTAATAGTTACAGGGTTTTTTAATGTGTCTAAGAAAAAATATGACACACACCAAACTAGTAATTTCTGGGAGGTTATTGCACAGAATGATCTAAAAAGTGAGTGGGTTTAAAACCAATTATTAGGTAAACCATAGTGGTGAGCGGATGTGGCAGAAACGGTTCTGGTGGATGAGGGCTTTCCTTCAGGAGCCCCACACACCTCTGAAACCACAACACCCACAGCCCCTGGGGCGGGGCCAAAAGAAGGCCTGTCCTCCTTCCCCAGTCCCCCTGGGTGTGCCCCGTCCCCGGCCCTGGGACTCTGACTGACCAGGCACAGGGGTGATGAGGTGACGCTTGGGTGGTGTGTCTTGCCGGGCCGGTCGCAGGGCAGGAGGCCGTACTGGTTGGAGAGAAGAGGTCAGTGGCAGGGATGGGCTGACAGGCTCCCGATGGACACAGCTGGAAGGGCTCTGCCCCCTTTCCGTTGGGATATGCCACCCTCCTCCCACCTGGGGTTCAGGATCCACAAGTCCTGCCCCCCAGCTGCTGACCTGCCCGGCTCTTGAGGGCCTCAAACGCCTCCAGCTCCACAGGCATCACCATGCTGTCGAAGCGGCCCAGGTCCGTGGGGGCCACCACACTCCTGGGAGAGGGAGAGACGGGGGTGGGCAAGGGTCCAGTTCTGAAGGTGCCGGGGGTGGGGGCTTCGGCCCTGGGATGGTTGGGGGAGGTATCAGGGGTCCCCTGCCAGGAGCCGGTCCACCCTTGCTGCTTGACACAGTCACTGCAGGGAGGAAACATCTGCGCAGCTTATGTTTCAAGGGACCTGGCGTATATGACATAGGTTTGCTCCCCCTCTTAAGCACTATGTGTTTTAACCAGGACCACCTCCCCGAGAAAGGTTGTTTCCCAGGTTAGGGGTTAACAGGACTAAGGAAGAGAATAAATCAGTAAATCCCCCTAGTGTTACAGAAATACCATGTACTACTTATGAAGAACTTGGACTAAGACTGTTGGCAATAAATTTGGGACTTGTTGGGCCCACATCCCCAGGGGTCTGCCCACCAGGGAAAGCACCAAAGCCTATACCCCTGGAGACCCACCGACACAGGGCAGTCCCAGGGAAGGCAAGCAGCGAGGCTGGGAGGACATAACCTTTACTGGGTAGGATAAACTCCTTTAGTCACTTCCTTGTAGCTTATCAGTAGAGCAACAGAATAGTGACCTTGGAATAGCCCTTATAATGGAACACAGAGATTAACCTAGACAAGATTGAAATCAACAGAATTACATAGAGACAGGATTTTTGGCTAAGGTCAGATACGAAACAAGGAATTTGTAGAACGTGACCCAAAACATACCATGATGTAATTATAGAGGCATGCTTATGGGATCAAATAGTATAAATATAGATGTAATAGGACAATAAAGAGAGAACCTCGCTATGATGATCACCTGAACACTGCCCCCGTGTCATTCATTCTTCGCCGGCTCCGTCCACACCTTTGGGAACCCCTGGACCTGCTGGGGCTGGACCCCAACAGTCCCCCTCCTGCCCGAATTCCTCCCTACAACGCTCCCCACCTGATGTCCCGCAGCAGCAGCAGCTTGGCGGGCTTGTCCAGGATGGCCAGCAGGGGCCTCACCAGGTCCTCCACGCCACCCTCGTGCACGTACTGCGGAGACAGGCACCCAGGTCAGAGAGCAGCAGGGACTTCCCCAGCTGGGCCAGGGGCGATGCCTGGGCATGTCTGGGGGGGCCCCCATGTTAGGAAGGGCTCCCCCATCCCTGGGCTGTCCACAAGATGTCTTATCTTGGTGACTAGGTGAAAGCCTGCAACAACAATAACAGACGTGTAACAGCGATGACAGCTATGGGGCAGGCACTCTTCCAAGCCTTTTACACATGTCTCTCATTTAGCCACCACCCACCCTGAGAGATGACATTATTGATTCCTGGTTTGCAGGTGAAGAAACTGAGGCTCAGAGAAAAGGGCTTTGCCAGCGCCGCACAGATGAGGAAGTACAAGTACGAAGAGGGACTGAAACCCGAGACGTCTGGCTCCGGCCTACGCTGTGCGGGGAAAGGATGTGCAGTGAGTGGACTCTCCTCCCCACCCCCTCCTTCCAAGCAGAAGGAAGGAATTGGAGCCAAACACTAGGCTGTGGGCTTGGCTGGCCCATCATTTGTCTGCACACAGAGCTACAAATTAGCCTTTGTCCAGGGCTGGAATAGGACCTTGGGGACGGGGTGGCCCTACCGAAAGCCTCTCCAGTCAGTACTCAGGATGGAGGAGGCCCTTCGGCCTGGCACTGCCCGGATGTCACCGACCACACCCACCGACGCAGACAAACTGGCAAACTGAACACTGGCAGCCACCCTAACGGACACATACCGCTCCCTGGTGGTGAAAGGGAGACACGCACTGATTCAGGGACACAAACACAGAGCATCCTCTATGGGCACAGACACAGAGAAATAGCATGCCCTGGTGGTCAGAGCGAGACATTCATACATATCTGGAAATAAATAAAAGATAAACGATGTGTGTGGCTCTAAACCACACACAAAGTTATAGGGACTCACGCATACACATATGGACAATATACCCCCAGATAGTCACAGACGTGCACAAGCTTCAAGTTCACACACCTGCATTCAGCACCCACTACGCGCCAGGCTGTGTACCGGAGGGTGGCAGTCGGGGCCCAATAATAAAAATCCTGCTCCAGATCTTCAGGAACTCAGTGTAGTTGGATCGAGGGGCAGAATGAGCCACATGCCCCAGTGAACTACAGACCACTCACAGAGGGAGTCTCGGAGGAGGGTGGGAAGATCAGAGTGGGCTTCATGGAAGCGGTGGCATTTACACCGACTCTTAAGGATAAATTCAGGGATCAGCGTGAGTGTTGGGAGAAAAGTGCTCTAAGGACGCTGCGGACTAAGGGGTAGATGGAAGTTTAACCTGATCTCGAGTTACATGACGGGCCTCCACGCAGGCCGCGCAGGTTGTGACCACAGTGTGAGCAGTGCCTCTGGAGCTGTGCCATTCATAACCTGTACCAGGCCGTGTGGGAACCGGGGTGATGTGGTGGCTATGGGAAAGCTGGGCTTAGTGGGTTGGGGAGTTAAATCCGGTGAGAACAAGGAACTTGCACTCCATTCTGTCAAAGAGGTTACCAGGGGCTTGGGGCGTGTGAGTGATCAGAGAGGTGGTTTACAATGCCTGGCCTGGAGGCTGTGAGGAGGTGGCTAAGAGGGGGGAGAGAGCAGGGGTTCAGGGACACACATCAGAATCACTAGGGGAGCTTTACTCATCTCTCAGGCCACCCCAGAGGGTCCCCTCTCTTGGTGTGGGTAGGGCTTGGGTCAGGTTTGGGTAGTATTCGGAGCTCCCCAGGTGCTGTGGGGGAGACAGTGAGAGGCATCCTAGTTGGGGTGGGGAGAGAGAAGCCAGGGATTAGGAAAAAGGAGCAAATAAAGCAGCGGTTCTCAACCTGTGGGTCGCGACCCCTTTGGGGGTCGAACGACCCTTTCCCAGGGGTCGCCTAAGACCATCGGAAAACACATATATAATTACATATTGTTTTTGTGATTAATCACTATGCTTTAATTATGTTCAATTTGTAACAATGAAAATACATCCTGAAATGAAAATGTAAATATCAGATATTTACATTACGATTCATAACAGTAGCAAAATTACAGTTATGAAGTAGCAACGAAAATAATTTTATGGTTGGGGGTCACCACAACATGAGGAACTGTGTTAAAGGGTCGCGGCATTAGGAAGGTTGAGAACCACTGGAATAAAGGAACAGAGGCCCACCTAGTGGCCACAGCCCAGAACTGCATGCTTACAGCTGCTGGTTCAACAGCCAGCCCCCCTTAGCACTGAGAGATGAGCATGACATTTGAGTTTAGCCAAGGCCATTAGCTGCCCCCAACATGCACCTGACCACAGGGGGCCCTGCTGTAAACCAGGCCTTGGTCAGGGGGTGCATGAATCACCACGCCTCAGTCTCCAGGTGACACATGCCTTAGCTAAGCACATGCACACTCACACAGATACAATCGTACAGCTGAGTCAACACACAGCCAGGTACTCCACAGACAGACAAATGCACACACCACCCAGACATACAACACAGCCCCACCCTGGCCCAGGTGATGGTGTGGGGGATCCACAAACAATTTCCTGAAACTCCTCAGACAGCCCTTGGACATGGGCTCGAGTTCCCAGATTCATCACAGGGAACCCATCACAGAAACCTGAAGGTTCTTGAGGCAGCGGGAAGCCTAGATCCTGGAGAGGGCCTTCCAACCCATCCTCCCAGAGGGGTGACATGTGCCTTCTGAAGCCTCACCAACATTCAGGCTACAAAGATCCCTCGCCTCTAACCTCTATACCACTCTGGACCCTCTGGTCTGTTTGAGGTGGAAGAGAACAGAGAACAGCAGTGCAGGTGTTGAGAGGTTTGGGCTGTCAGGTGGGGGAAGGGACACGGGATTACTTACCTGTGCCAGGCCTGGTGGCTGACCCAGGAGCAGAAGGAGGCATGGGAATGGGCTGGGGTTTAGAGGAGAACAGAGGCAGGTGACTGCAGGGACTCCTGTACCTCAATTCATCACCTGCCTGACTCCTCTCCCCAGCTTGAATGTCACCTCCTCAGAGAGGCCCTCCAAGGCCACATCTAATGTGTGCTCTTGGCTTCCTTTATCATGTCATTTTCCTTCACAGCACTTCACATGAGTTGTCACTATGGGTGTTCCAGTGTCCAGCTCCCCTTTCTGGTTGTGAGCTCAGTATGTGTGCCGGTGTGTGCATGTGACAGGCAGGGGTGACTTCCGCTTCTAATGACCACTGGCCTCACAGTGTTGAGCCCAGATACTGGTCAGCAGGCAGTAGCCTGAATGAATGAGGGCCTGGGTGACTGAGTGGCCATGTGCTGGGGCTGGGGGCCCGCTGGAGGCTCACCCGGGAGCAGTGGCGGGTGACGGCCAGCACCTCATCGTCAGTCAGCAGCCGCCGGGCCAGGTCCTGAATAAGGGGCCGACGGCTCTCCCAGGCCTGCACCTGCTCATCCACATTGGGCAGCTGGCTGGAGGGGCTCCCGGACCTGGCAGAGAGCAGGGCCCGGCCCCTCTCCCGGTCTGCAGGGCAGGAGCAAAGGGATATGATGAAGGAGCCTGGAGCCAACAGGAGAGGAGGTAGGGGCTTCCCTAAATGGGGGTCAAACCCCAGGACATTCTGGCTGAGAGGCCCAGGTGCCCCTGACGGAGTCCCAGCCATGCTCCCCAACACAGTCTCCCATGGTGATCTGCCCGCCAATGGAGCTCTACCCCAGGCCCCTCTGCCCCCCAACACAGACCCCTCTACCAATCTGTTCCTTAATGGAGTCCTGGCCCAGCGGCCCTTGGATTCCCTGAACATACACTGTCCTACTAGTCTGGTTCCCATTGGAGTTCTCACAGGCTTCCTCATATCCCCCAAATCAGTATTTGGGAATCCCAACTCAAACTCCAGGTTCCTACAAATGTACCGCAGTATCTGTCTGCAACCCTATCTTTCCGAGTCCAGTTCTTTTAGCTGCCCCCAATATGTACCTCCCTATCTGCCTGGTCCCTCATGCTTGATCTCAACTGAGCTTAGCCCAAAGACCCTTAGCTGCCCCCAACATGCACCCCACCCCATCAGCAGCTCTGCTGTAAATCTCTTTGGTAAAGAGATGCATGACTTACCACGTCTCAGCCTCCAGGTGACAAACTTCTGCACAGGTCCCGCTCCCCCTGCTAAGAAGAAAAAGGCTCAGCAGCAGGCCCTGTCCCCAATCTGAAAATGGGGGTTGGGAGGGTTCAGGACTGGATGGATCACTGCTTGGTATGGAGAGTTCAGGCTGAAGGCGGTGGGATGGGGAGACCATGAGGGTCTTGAAGGCCACGCTCAGGCCAAGACCTTTGTTTACAGGCGGTGGTGAGTCCGTGAAGGTTTTGGATCAAGAGAGGGTACAGTCTGAGCTCTGCTTATAGAGATTCATTTGGAAGCAAATGGATGGAGGCAAGAACCCTAGGGACAAAGTTTGGGGGCGCACTTACCTTCAGGGGACAAAGAGAAAAGGGACAGCCTTGGAAGGAGAGAGAAGAGTGGCCTGAGAGGTGGGAGAACCAGGAGAGAGCAGGGCCCTGGGGGCTGTGGAGAGAGAGATGAGTTGATGAAGGGGGGCTGGCCTGCTCTTATTTGAAGGGATTGTCTCTCCCATGGGACTGTCACCTTGAGACCCCCGTGGGGGGGAGGGGTGGCCAGGGCCCAGCTCCTCATCCTCTAGTGGTTTTTGCCCGATCAACATCCACTCTCCCCTCTGGAACACACTTTGATTTCACCCAGGGACCCCCATCCTCAGTGCATGTTCCCCAGGGGAGCTGAGAAAGCGTCTCTCTCCCACATCACAGTGATGTGCGGGGTGTGGTCCCAGCTGGGCCAGTGAGAGCCTGAGGCTTCCGTGGAGACTCTGAGAAGCTCTCTTTCCTTTGTGTTGCTAAGTGGCCATCTTAGCTCAAGTGGCCAAAGCCCTCAGGACAATAAGCCAATCCAGGGGGAGGGAACCGAAGACGAGAGGGCAGATGTCCGAGGAGACTGTTCCATCTTTAGGTCCAGCTTAAATCAGTAGTTGAGCCAAGAGGTGCTTTTTAAAGCTACTTTGAGTAGAGTTTCCGTCACAGGCAACCTCAACAGTCAAGCCATCCACTCTTGGTCCGGTCTCCGAACCTCACGTGGGAGATGAGAGGCCCTCCGTGAGGCCCCTTCCGAGGCCCCTGACATGAGTGAAGCCTGCCTCGGCCCTTCCACGGGGCCCTGATCTAGAAAGGGTCGTGCTCAGGGATGGTTCTAGAAGTGGGTAGGGCCTGTGGAGTTCTTGCCAGGGGAGGTGATGCCAAATATTCTAGGAAAAGAGTGCCCTGCCCTCCCCTCAGAACCGAGCTCCTCTGCTTGCTCCTGTGCTGGGACTCTATCAGTTTTCCCTTCTGTAAAATGGGCAGACGAGGTCATGTAAGAATGACCACTACATTCTCTGGGCACCGGTGTGGCAGATAATGTCCTAAGTGATGAACATACACTAGCTCACTTATTCCTCACTATTCCTGAAGATATAGGTATTATTACTTCAGTTTTACTCCCGAGGAAGCTGGAGCCCACAGGGTGCAGTGGAGACTCACGGCGAGTGAGAGGCAGCGTGGGGCTGGATGCCAGTGTGGACCTTTCCTCCCTGTCTGACCAGCCCAGCACTTACCTTTCTCCACGTCCAGGCGAGGACGGGGCTTGGCCGGGCTCCCTCTCTCCAGTGTCCAGGCCTCTCTGCGCCCGTCCCCCAGCCGCCCCTGCCGCCCTCCCTTGAAGAAGAGGTTCATCAGTGTCTTGGAGCGTTGCAGGGCCCCCTTCTCCCCAGAGGACCCCGACTTCTCCTTCTTCCGCTGCTTCTTCTCTTCTGCAGACACGAGGGAGCACCCGGGAGGCTGGAGGGGCGGGCAGAAGGGAAGGACCAGGGGCCGGGGTGTGGGGAGGGGCAGAGAGAAGGGAGAGTAGGGGGACAGACAGGGTCTGCAGCCATGTGGGGAGGCGGGGATGCGGGCAGGGAGGTTGGGAGGGCCAGGGGCCCTCCTCCAATTTTTCACCCCTACTTTACCCACAGATACAGCTATGTGAGGAAGCCATGAGGACGGGAGAGTGTGTGTGTGTGTGTGTGTGTGTGTGTACAGGTCTGGGCACTCCAGGCTGGAGGGCTTGTTAGGACTCTATTGGGGCTCAGAGGGACTGGAGCTGGAGCTGGGTCTGGGTCTGAGTGTATTCTGGGGCTGAGGCTGGGTCAAGGCTTGGGGCAAAGGGAGGTTTGGGGCCCAGGATGGGTCTAAGGGAGGTCTTGGAACGGGGGCTTTAAAGAGAGAAGCAGCCACCCATCCCCCACGTACCCCACAAGGTCAGGTGGCTCTGGGAGCGTGTAATGGGGGGCCGGGGTCGGCTGAGGGCCAGCAGCAGAGCAGTCTTGGGGGACTCAGAGAGAGCAGAGTCAACGCGGCGGGCGGCCGAGGGTCCGTCGGAGCGGATGGCTGTGTCCCTGAGGATGACTGTGGGCCGCACGCTGCACCAGGTCTCCACGCGGCCGCCCACATCGGGGTCGGTCTGCATGGCTGTGTCTGCTCGCCCCCAGCCTGGGCCTCGGCTGCTGGCCTCCTCCGGCCCCAGGCAGACATCCATGCGGTCAGAGGGCAGGGAGCTGGAGCCCTCAGCCGAGCTGTAGGGGGCGCTGGAGGCGTATGAGGAGACGCTGGAGCTGCTCTCAGAGGCCTGGGACAGCTGCTGCAGCACCCCATTGCTCACTGCGGGCATAGGGAAGGCAGGGGCATTTCGGGGGACCGGCTGGTTGCTTCAGGGCCCTGCCAGGCTTGCAGACCACCCCTGGGCTTGGGGGGGTTGGGGAGGATCCGGTAGCAGCCAAGGTTGGAAGCTCAGGATCTGGGCTCCCGGCTGCTCAGCATCCTGCCAGTAGGTGAGACCTTGAGGAAGTCACTTCTCCTGCGCCCACCCCCTTGGGACTCCAGATCCTAGGAGAGCCTGAAACAGGACCTGCACCTTCTCAGAGGAGGGCCCCAAACAGCGCTGGGCAGTGTGAAAATCCCAGTAAGATCCTGGTCCCCCTGCCCATTTAGTCCTCAGATATTCCGGCCCCACCCTCAGGCCCTGCCCTTTCCCTTCAGCCTTCGAGGCCTGAGCCACTTACGTCGGTCCAGCCAACAGTACTCAGAAACCATCTCCTTGTAGGCAGGGTACCGGCCAGTCTCCTGGGGCGGGCATGGTGGGCAGAGGAGGGCATCGGGACGGGGTCAGAAGGGAGAGAAACAATGAGGAGTGATGGCACAGGAGTGAACTTTTCAACCCTCTTACTCTCCATCATGCTCTAGCCACACAAGCCACTTTATTTCTGCGCATGCCAACTTTCTCCACACTCCAGGGCCTTTGCACCTGCTGTTCCTTCTGATTGGATTCTCTTCCTTCAGCTCATCTGGTGGCCAGCTCCTTCCCCCTCTTCAGGTATTACCTCCTCAGAGAGGCCCACTCTCACATCCCCCGACTAAAAGTGTCTTCCTAAATCACCTCCGCCCCTCTCTCTGTTAATTTCCTATAGCATTTGTCACATCTGCATGTATCTAGTTTATGTATCTGTCTCTGCCAATAGCAAAGACCTTGTCTTGTTCATTGTTGTAGCTTCAGGACCTTGCATACTGGCCATCCTATAGTACAGTGATGGCGAACCTTTTGAGCTCGGCGTGTCAGCATTTTGAAAAACCCTAACTTAACTCTGGTGCCGTGTCACGTATAGAAATTTTTTGATATTTGCAACCATAGTAAAACAAAGATTTATATTTTTGATATTTATTTTATATATTTAAATGCCATTTAACAAAGAAAAATTAACCAAAAAAATGAGTTCGCGTGTCACCTCTGACACGTGTGTCATAGGTTCGTCATCACTGCTATAGTAGGTACTAAAAAATATTGAATGAATGGATGAATGAATGAATGAATGAATGAGGGGCTGAGTGGGAGTAAGGAGGAGCGTTTGAGAGGAAGGAAAGGAAGAGTGGAATGCGGGAGGGGTGGGGAATAAAGGCAGTGGGGGCGGGGAATGGTGGAGGAGGCGGGATGGTGAAATGGGTGAAAGGCTTGGAGAAGGGAGAAGGGTGGAGCAGGGGCCAGGACGAGGCACTAGGCAGAGTGAGGCATCACATCCTCCAGGAGCCAGAGTGAGAAAGACCTGATCCTCAGGCAAGTGTGAGACCCACATGAATAATGGATCCAGCCACCACCCCTGAAACCCAATCTCTGTACAGCCCAGCCCTTCTTGCCCTGTACCCTGAGGAAGCCCACCACCTAGTCCTACCCAAAGCCATAGCCACCGCCCCACCTTTCTGAGCGGGACATTTCTTTTTCCTTTTACTCCTAGGCCTCCCCCACTCATACAAAGGGGCACTGTCCTAGACACCTGGGGAGCGGGCCTGGAACAGGCCCCGCTACTGACCACCCGGGGAATTGCCTGGGGCTCCTCAGTTACTTTGCCTTTCTGAGCCTTCTTTCTTCTGCAAAATAAGGACAATGCCTGCCCTACCTCTCACGTGGCTGTGAAAAAGTCCAGTTGCAGAGCAATGGGCGTAATTAAGAACTAGGGTGCTCTAGGAAGTCTTCCCTACTGTCTGGCCTCTCCCTGACTCCCACAGTTCTGCTCACCTTGATGGTCAACATGATGTGCGTTTGGCCCTTCAGCACCTCCACGGCCTGGCTGTGGCTGATGTCATCGAACCTGACACCGTTGGCCGCCAGGACCTGGTCTCCCACCTTGATACCGTTCTCCTCGGCCAGCCCGCCATGATCCACTCTAGGGTCAGACAGACAGCAGTCCGGTAAGCCCCCAGGCCTGCCCTCCCTCACCCCAGTCCAGACCCTCTTCACTTGGATACAGGGATGCCCCAGTCAAACTCCTTGACCCTCCTCCTGGTGACCCGGCCCCCCTCTGCTGATCCCACCCCTGACTTAAGCCCTCATTTGAACTTGTAGTTGGCCAGGCCTCCCTTGCTAACCCATCCCCAGGTCCCAGCCCAGGTCAAACCCCAAGCCCCATTCCCTACCCTACCCATTTCATTCCCTGCCCACTCCTCACTTGGACACGTAGATGCCCAGGCCGAACTCCTTGCCCCCTCGGATGTTGAAGCCCAGGCAGAAGTCATCGGAGGTCGTGTAGAGGTGGACGATGCGCCGCACCCCGTCCTCTGAGCTGCTCTCTGACGGCGTGGAGCTGCACTTCTCCACTACCAGCCGCCGATTCACCACGTCCACCCTGGGGCAGCAGCAAGGAGCCCTCAGCCTGGGCCCCCATCTGCCACCATCCGCCCCCCCACCACTCCCAGCAGCCCCCATAACTGCAGGGGAAAAGTGGGGCTGCCTTCGGGGGACTTCCCAGGTCTAAGATCTTCAGTGGGACAAGGATTAATCAAATCTGAGAAATCATCCTAATTTTCTCGAATCCTCATAGGCCCAGGAGGAAGAGGCGCTGTTATTATCTTACACTCAGCAGCAGCAGCCGCCAGGGGGCAGGGCCGCTGGGGTCTGGGATAGCAGAGCTGCGGGGAGAAGTGGAGGAGCGGGAGTGACAAGACCTTTTCTCATTTCAGGGTCAGGCCTTAGGGTTTCCGTGACGCAGCCCCACAGGGTGGGAGAAGCAGGAGCCACACCAGCCAGGCCTGTGCAGAGCCCTTGCCCTCAGCCTCTCCTGCCCTGGCTTTGGGTCGGGGTGCAGGGGCAGGCAGGGCAGGCCTTCTCACCACGTGGTCTTCTCCTTGGAGAATTTGATGCCGGGCACACGGCCCATGCGCCTCACCATCATGTGCAGGCGGCTGCTGCCCGTCAGGACCTTCACGGCGCTGCCCATGGTGGTGCTCTCCAGGCTCAGCCCGTTCACCTCCGTGATCTTGTCCCCCACACACAGGCCAGCCCGCTCTGCACCAGGGAGAGGGGCGGCTGGCGTGGGCCATTTGGGAGAAGGCTGAGCCCCCACAGACCAGGCTTCCTGGGGTGAACTTCTTCCCTGAGATGTGGGATCCCTAGGTGGGGTCTGTGTGTCCCATGTTAGACTAGGGACCTGTCCAGTAGCCCACTCCTCCCTGAGGGGGGCTCCATCTCCCCATTAGATCAGGCCCTACAAAGCCCAGGAGTCTTCCTCCCACCCCTGACTAGAACCTCTGTGCCCCACTAAGATGGGGTCACATACAGCCCCAGGACCTCACCCCCGGGGACCCTGCTCACCTGCACTGCTCCCCTCCTCCACCTTGCTGACGAAGATGCCCAGGCCATGCTCAGAGCCGCCGCGCACACTGAAACCCAGCCTCCCTGCTGGACTCTTCTCCACCCGGACCGCATGGATGATGTCGCTCTCATCACTGTTGGCTGTGGGGATGGGGACACAGGCATGACTCCCATGCCTATTCTGAGCACAGTGGACCCCTGGGTTCCCCAACTTGGAGCCTGCAAAAGCTGGGTTGCTGGTCACAGGCATCCAGGGACCTACATGAGGGGGGCAGCCAATTTCTGAGTTTCCTCTGGGTGACTTTAAGACTGTGGGCTAGGGATGGGATGGGAGTAGACAGGACAGGATTCCATGTGGGAAGACACTGTTCTCATAATATAGGTGTGTGTGTTGTTGTGTGTGTGTGTGTGTGTGTGTCTGATGCTTAGTAAGCTTCCCATGCCCACAGGCCTGGGATAGGCCAAATGCCTAAAAATATTAGTATTCTGAGGGTCAGAGAGATAGAAAAGAGGTTTAAGAATCCATTCTATGGAGCACAGCTGAGGAGTCTGGGCCCTTTAGCTTGCAGTGGAAATGAGCATGTCAGCTCCATCTTTAAATAGTTGAAGATCTATCCTGTGAAGGTATTAGATGTTTTTGACTGTGCAACCCAGAGGGCAGAACAAAACCCACATAGTGGAATTATATGGAGGCCCATTGAGCAAGGGAAAACTTTCCAATACTTCCAGCTGTCAGCATGGAATGAGTTTTCCAGGAGGGAGAGCGAGTTCCTCATTTTTGGAGGCATACACGCGGACACTTGGTAAATCCCTGTCTAGGTGCTGTGGAAGGATCCCTGAGGTGCCTTCTGTCTCTTACACTCTGTGGTTCTGGAAGTAAGGGCTCTAAGAGCTACCTGACTCTCTGAAGAGAGAAACCCAAAACAGCACCTTGTGCAGCATGTGCCCAGAACCCTGAGTGGGCCTCTCCGTCATTGTTGGGGATGTCAGAGGAGGAGGGTCCCCAGGGACTGGACTGCCAGGGAGGGATTCTTGGAGGACTCAGATGGGTGGAATTAAGGGAAGACATTGATGAGGGATGGAGTGAGCAAAGGCTCAGAGGTGCGTCCTTGAGAAGGCCTTTTTGTTGGAGAAAAGTGAGAAGACTGGAGCGGTGAGAAGGTGAGATTTCTTCTTGGGGCTTACTCCAGAACTCTAAACATCTCTCTCTCTCTCTTTCTCTCTCTCTCTCTCACACACACAGACACACACACACACACACACACACACACACACACACACCTGTTTCATCTAAGAGAAACCAGAGCAGCTCAGGGAGAAATCCCCAAGGGCAGCCTGTGGGCAGGGATGGTGCAGTACAGAGACGTGGGGATCCTGGGACTTCCAGGGCAGTGTCCCCCGCCCCCATGTCTTGTAGCTCCTCTGAGGACTTCTGCTCCATGACCAGAATGACAGTGGTGGCCCTCAGCAGTGCTCTGCTGCTCACTCTGGGGTGAGGCTGAGTGTGTGGATGATGGGTGTGCTGGACCACTGGTGGAGGAAAGCCTGATTCCTGAGTTACATGCCCCAGAGGCCCGGGTAGAGGAACAGGGATGCCCAGACGGGCCAGGGGGAGGATCAGGGTCTGAAAAGTTCAGTCTGGGATTCAGCCAGGGCACTCTGCTGGCTGAGGGACAGGAGGGGAGCTGGAGATAGTTGTCTGGTCCTATCTGCAGAGAGCCCAGGCCCAGAGAGCCCCACTTCCCTGCTGTCATTCAAGGTCCTGCTTTGCTCATCTGCTCTTTGTTGTCTCACACCTGTCACTGCAGCCAGGCTGTCTCTTCAGCGCCCGCCCCATCATGCTTCGTGCTTTCTATGTCCATCCTTTGTCTGTGATACCCCCACCCCCTCACCAGCTGTTCCCGTTGCCGTCTCTAAGCCCTGCTACACTGTAAGTTTCTGAAAGTGAAGACTGAGCCTTCTTTCTCTCTAGGCTCCCTGCAGAACCTAACTAGGGCTGGTACAGAACTGGTGTGCAATGAGGTGGCATTAAGCATCTACATAAGCTTAGGTCTCCTTCCCTTACCCCCACCTTCCTTTTCTCCCCACTCTCCTCACCTTCCTTTTCTCCCCACTCTCCTAAACATTGGCTACTCTATCTTCATTTCCTTCCTTTTGCATGTGGAGCCTTTCATTCCATTTGCCCAACTGGGCCCTGGTTCCTCCCAGCTCAACACAGAACTGGACACGCAAGAGGCTGGTGGATGGAGGATGTCCTCCGTCCTGCACATGCCCCAAAGGCATACGCAAATGGGTTTGGACAAAGGTAGCATCTATGAAAAAATAGAAACAAAAACAAAAGCAGCAGATGAGCAAAGTGGGACGGTGAATGACAGCAGGGAAGTGAGGGCTCCCTGGGCCTGGGCTTCCTATAGACAGGACTAGACATCTCCAGCTCCTCTCTGTCCCTCGGCCAGCGCCCTGGCTGAATCCTAGACTGGACTCTGCCCAGCTCATTTGGGGCTAGCGTACCACACACACACACACACACACACACACACACACACACATTCCCACACCTTTCCCCGGTGGCTATGCCCTATTTCCCACCTCTGCCCTCTCTGCAATCCTGGAGTCCTAAAGGACTGGCCTAAAGGAGCAAAGAATTAGATGAGGAAGAGTGTATGGGTTCCCAGAAGCCCCCCCTCCATCCGTGGGGCTCCCATCTTTTGAGTTCCCCCACCCATATTGGCTCTGTCTCCTTCTACTTAGCGCCATATGTCCTCTCCCCCCACCCTCTGCTCCGGCCTCTGCTGGGCCCCACCCCCACCTTCGATGGGGGAGTTGATGAGGATGACACGGCCCATGGGAGATGAGGCTCGGATTCCGCGGGAGGGCCCATTCAGCAGCCGCTGTTGCTTCCTCAGCAGGTATCGCGTTGCGGAGCCTGTGTCGCTGCCCAGGTGGCCTCGGGAGGAGAGGGAGCTCAGAGAGCCAGAGCTTAGGTCTCCAAGGCCCAGTGGGTCGAAACCCACCGAGAAACCGTGCGCCATGGCGGCTAGACTACAGGTCCAGAAGGAACCTGCTAGCCCTCGGGAGGAGGGCTCTGCGTGCTCCGGGCTCCATGAGCCTTCTGGGCAGGACGGGGTTCCCAGTGAACCGGAGCCCTCACCTCCGCTGCCTCTCTGGAGTGTGCACTAGGCCTGCGCAGGGAGAGGGAGGGATTGGAGGAGGGGTGTGAGTGCTGCCCCCCAGAATTTCCACCCCTCCCCCTGGTTTGAGCATCCTGCCCTCCCATGCCTTAGGCCAGAGAACTGCCCATCCAGGCACCACCATGGACTTTTGGAGCTATTCACACCAGGCGGGTGGGAACCTCTCCTTCACCCCTCATTCCTGCTCTCAGCTGAGTCATCTACTCAGTCTCTATCCTCATAGGAGGTTGAGAGTGGAGGAGATGGGGTTGTGGCAGGCCCTGGGGTTTTAAGGGGTGTGAGAAAAATTGGGGCCAGGGCAGTTTGTTGCACACCTCTCTTGTGTATGGGAGTAGGGGGTCAGCCAGTATTTGATGCTCAGGCCTCAAGGGCTGGGCTTCAGGACCTGGGACAGCTGCAGCCAAAGACCAGAGATGTCCCGGTCCAGAGACCCCCAGGCCCAGAGTGCTGTCCCCTCTGTCCCCCTCCTCTCCCGTCTTAAGAAGTTGCATGGCCCTCTCCCAGGCTTTGTAGAGGACCTGCTGGCGAGAGCCCCACAACATCCCCCGCAAACCCGGGGCCAAGTCCCTCAGAGCAGATCTCAGCGCGCACCCCCCCCCATCGGTCCTCCTGGCGCCCCCACCTCTCGGTCTCAGCCCCCGGAGCCCCTCACCTGCTAGTGTGTGCGCGGCCGCCGGCCTCGCCCGCCCGCGGGCGCGAGCGACTGCAGCAGCCGGGGACCCCGCCCACGCCTCGCCGAGGCTGCAGGAGCGGGGCGGGCCTGAGCAGTCCCGCGCTCCCATTGGCTGAGGGGGCCGCCAGTCACTCCTCCCGCCACCTCTCAGGCACCCAGGACAGCCGTTTTTCTCCTGGGCTGGGCTGCTGGGCTCCAGCCACTCCCGTTGGAATTCGGATGCCCACCTCGACCGCGAACTCAGGGCTTGGGTCGGCTCCACTAACGGTTCAGCACAGGGCCGCCCAGGACCTTGACCTCTCCAGGCCGTGCCAGCTACCAGGG